GGGCGGGCGTTTGGGACGTAAAGTTGTGGCTTGATAGGGCCCTTATAAGGGCACCTTCCTCGGGGAAACCGCTATGCAGCGCCTGCCCAGGGTCGCGGAATTCTATCCTGCCAGGAGTATTGATCCTAGTCGTCTTGGGGATTTATCGTGCCAACTGCCTTTAACTAAAAAACAATCAAATGAACAAATAAATAAACAATAAGTTTTAGCCTGTTAATTCTGTGAATAGTTGCCCATTAAGGAGTACGAAGACTACACAGATTTCGGTGACTATCTGCCTTACTATCGGATGAATTTGCGCCGAAGACCACGTCGTACGTTTCTTCACTACCTAGTTTTGTAGACTAATATGTAATAGATATGAGAATCGATCATGAATAATCCATAATTCTGAAAAGAATAGTCCAAAAATTGCTACCTTAAAAAAACTGTTCCAGCATATCCTCGGATGATGATTAGAAGATTTCCTTCACGGCCAGTATTCGCAAGAACAAGGGTGAGTTGTATTCAAATTTACTGCCACGAAATGGGAGCTTGACCAGATCCGAAATACGTTAGAGGTACAGATCAAATCTAATTTGCGGCGCTGCCGAACTCCGAAAACCCTGAACTTCGCTCACGCATACCTTTGAGGAATAAAACGGCCTAAGCCAACTACCAGGGCTAGTCTGCGATTACATAATAGAACTGTTCCAGGTACCCCATATTCCTGTGAGGTGACGACATCGATGGCACAGTGATGATGCCAGTGGATTCAGTAACGCAAGAGGTGAATTTCTTTTTAATAAATCAGATCAATTATAAATTATTTACAGCCAACTAGTTTCCAGTTTTCAAGCCCAGTCCCAAAATGTTTCCTATTCTATTGTACTTATCTCATTGATCATAACCCGTAAGGAAGAGCAAATCAGACAAAGTTCAGTTGTTGTGCCACGTCTGAAGGATTTCTTATCATAACCAGCACAAAATCTGGATTCGTAAAATAATCCACGGTTTCTTCGTCTCTTTTTGGCGGCCTTATGCCACGCACTTGTGCTTTCACCCCGACATTAAGGTTAGCCTGGCCTCATGGGAAGTTTTATTAAGGCAAACTAAGGAAGGCCTGCTGCTTCAGCGTAGCACAGTACAGTTACGGTTTTACAGTACGATTCGTAAGAACAGCACATATACGTTTAACTTTCGAATCGTAACGTTCCTCCGATAGAAATATGGTCAGCCACGAAATATGCGTCGCATCAGGACAGCATATAAAGTCTCTGCTCTGTTTTGAGGAAGTGAAAACTCAGAGGAAGTTCGAGCTGCGATTTCACGGAGTTTGAAAACATTTTTTTAGCCACGAAAAATGGAAAGGCTACGGCCATTACCGATGGCGACGCAGACATGGTTGTCTCCGTCACCAGCTCCACTACCACCGCCGCCTACAACGAGCCAGTCGTCGTCATCCACAACGGTTTTGCCTCAGAATCACTTGCGCTTAGAAGTAAGTGCTATGCTTGTGACTGGTTCTGAAGAAAAATGAAAAACGGGATAAGGTCACTTTTCACAGTTCACTTTTCACGAACTTGCACAGCCTTGAAACCTGTTCTGCAAGACTTTGCCAAGAGAGGAAGGAGCTATAAAGTTGCAGCGATAACCTAGAATTCTCCGAATTTCGCGGCCAGTGAAGCGCGATTGTGCAGAACTTAGCGCAGAGCACTAGGATGTGGGGCAAAAAGCATTGCCTGAACTTTTCCGGGCAGTTTTCCCTTTCACTCGAGGGTGAAGCTTGTATGGTGAGATATGCTCAACAGTTGTCTTCAGTTCTAATGGATAAATATTCAGGAGTCCACGCCGCACACATGCGCCAAAATGCGTCGTTTGGCTGCAACCTTCGGCATCCACGACATTTCCGTCTACGCTCGAAAGAACTGTCGACTCTTGCTGACGTTCGCTCCGGGACATACCTGCGAACAAATCGTTCACTTTGTCGATTCCTGTCACAAAAATCACCTTCTCAACTAAGCATCCTTAGATATGTAATAGTGGTAGTCACTTATTTTCGAGAATTATGAGCGTCATGCAGGGCGGTGGTCCTGGCACGATACCGGGCCACTCTCTGTGCGAGTTTTAGTGACTCTTTTAAGATTTGGTTCGTGACTTAAAGGCGGACTGTGCACTCACTTCTGTGAAATCTGGTCCTTGCCATGCGTGAGTGTAAAGCTACAGCTGCAGTAGTCGTAAAAGTGA